CATGCTCCACCAGGAGAATTCAATGAGGTCTTTAACGGTGAGTATGCCACAGGCTGATTTTCATTTCAGGTACGCTATATGCAGTGATGTGCAACATATCTTTTTCAAATAGGAAACACCCCATTTCAGATATCAGTCATTTCAAATTTGAAGCACCTTGTTTGGAGTCCAGAGCTGTGGTTCCAACACTTCCTGGATGCTTGAAGTGCCTGTTTTGAAATCACGATTTAGTAAACCTTAGTTTTAGTAATAAAATTAATAATTTTATATAGAGACCTTAGTGTTTTAATATTATAGCATTTTGTAAGTAATGCTCGTTTTCAATGATCTTTTATATCTCATAGATTTCCGTATTATTACTGAAGCAGTATAATTCTTACTGATGTTATCTTATGCTGGTCTGAGACTAAAGATTTGATTTGGTCAAGCTTGAAGCAGGACTTTGAATATAAAATTAAAATGTACAAGATTTGTATACATCTACTTTTGAGTTACTTTTCAAAAGTTATGTTTAACTGAAAGTGATGCATGTGTGATTGACAATTCTTTAAAATTCCTATATTACTGTTAGCTCCAAAAATAAGATATGCTGACCATGGGCTTAAAGTTTCAAGATATGGCAGAAATATTATATTTACAGAATAATTATCATTATGTTCTCCCCCATGTCCATCTTCTTTGTTGAAGTGGGGGACTAAGCTATGGAATTTATAATTGGTTCAACCCTTAATCGAGAGACCTGCATGCCTCCCTTTTATTAAGAGTATGAGTGGATTTGAGAAAATGACATAGAATGAGAAATGGTTTTTTAAAAAAATGACTTAAACAATTGGCCATGATAGTTGCTGAAGAAGTGATAGCAAATAGAGTAGACTTAGCATAGTTACTAGAGACACCAATTGATCTTAAAATTGAAACAGGAAGTAAGGGTATAAAGCATTTTAAAATAGTATCAGTCTTGAGGAAGGCAACCTCATGGTGATTTTCATGTGCTCCCTTCCCTCAAATCCTGCAGGTTTACCTGCCTGTGGGTTTTTACTCATTATTTTGTCCCCAGTTTTTTCCTCCCCTTAAACTTATTAATGAAAGAACCATATAGCTCTTATTGGTGATAGTCAACTGCTATCTTTGATCTTTGATCTTCTGGTGCATTCAGAGATAGTGATCATTTGCTATAGATGAAAGAAAAGCAGCTTTTGTACAAAAATAGCACCATCTTGTGTGAAGACCCATTGGAGTGTGAGCTGGTGGCAGGTGGCAATTAGGAAGCACTTTAAGCTGGTTAGGAGGTAACTAAAGAGCCTTGGAGTGCCAGAGCACTTTTTTCAGCCTCATTACTACAAACCCATGTTTCTTTTCCATAATAAATGCTAGAAGTATGCAAAATGTTTCAAGATTGAAGTGTTCCAACCTTGGAACAAACTTTGAAACATTTTAGTCCTTTAGTCCTTTGCTGCATATTAGTGACCATAAATATAATGCCCTTGTAGCCCTATTCTGTAGTACATTCTGTTTCTTTATATGCTACTGTAATCAGTACACACACTTGACAGTTTACAATAAAAATTGAAATCTATATGTATGCATATTGAGATATAAGGCAAAATTTGGATTGAACTTCTGAATTTCAGCTGTTAAATAAATGCTTGTTATATTTTTCAATAAGATTGTTTGATCAGGTTTTTAAATAGTGATTATTATATTATACAAACTTGCTCATTCTTTGGCCATAATTGCAAAGTTATGTCCAGTTGGATCTAGGAAAAAAATCCAGAAATTTATATGATGCTAATTCCTAGGAAACTTAAAGAAGTATATTTCATCTATATGCATAGCTGGTATCAAACATCTAGCATTTTTAAACTTTAGTTTGGTTGGCATGCATTTGAGATAGATACTTTTTTCTGTTGGGAAAACATATATTTTTTTGGCTGGGTTTATGCCAAGTATATTCACCATATACTAATGCTCAGTATTTTTCAGATGTTCGATTGCTACTTAATAATGATAATCTTCTCAGGGAAGGAGCAGCGCAGTAAGTACTAACCTCTTTATATAACACCTATCTTTCATTGTATTAAGAATGGATGAATATATTGAAAATTTCTATTGAGACATGTAGGTAGAATGATATTTCTCATTGCCTTTTCAAAATGTTACTTGCTGATTAAGATAAACCTGATAATCTTTCAGAAACGGCCTTTTTATAATTTGAATTAAGCCTTTTTTAACTGTAGTTTGTTGAATAGTCCAGCCAGGTCTTTTATATGAGCAAAGTAAATGGGGCTGTTCTTCCTTTTAACCTTTGTCATTCAGTTTAGACTGATTTGGTGAGATACAAAAAGAAATAAGTTAGGAAAATACAAACAAACCATGCATTCCTCTGTGCATATCACTCTAACCCCCTGTGAAAACTGTATACAATTCATTATATACTGCTGAAAACAAAGTATAGTTCATTCACTTATCCCATTCACGCAACATGTCAAGCCAAAAACAAACAAGCAATATCATGACTTATCCAGTGGATATACAGTGGTACCTCGGGATACGAACTTAATGCGTTCTGTGACTCTGGGCGTATCCCGA